TCGATTGGCTTTTGCCAATTTACGCCACCTATGGCGCCGCCGTGATATCCGGCCGTCTATTGAGGGTTGCGTGTACTGCACCTGCACAGCAGTCTGGTCTCTTCTTCTGTATGACTGTGAAACATGGTTATTGAAGGTGGAAGACATGAGAAGGCTGGCTTCAGGTGTTTGACCACCGTTGCCTTCGTAGTGTAGGTCGTATTCCATAGTGTCACCTCGTGAGTAATGCAGAAGTCAGGTGTAGAGTTTTAGGCAGGAGAGGTAAATCCTTTGATGAGGTTATGGACCTTCATCGGCTGAGATGGCTGGTTGGGACATGTATTAGGTATGCCTAGTCACCGTCTCCTTCGTTACATATTGTTGGCCGAAGTAGGTTCAGACTGGAAAAAGGCTTGACGTGGCCAGACAAAAAAATGGCATCATTGTATGAAGTGTTTGGCTGTTGGTTGGAGCCATGTAGGGCGAAGCAAATTAACCAGTCAGGGTCTGTGGGACAAGAGAAACCAGTGCTTGGAGACTTTAGATGATATGGCTCAGAACCGATGTCTTAACGACGCCATACTGAATCTCACCATTTTCTCATTCTTCCTTTCTCTCTTTTAGTACTCTATATTTCTTCTGACAGAATTTTCTTTTCTTCATCTTCCACTTTGTTGCCTTTTTTATTTGTCATGTACTGATATGAACTGTGGTAAGTTGAACGGATGGGTGGATGATACATTGAATGTCACTAAAATAATAAACTTACAGTTCATGCGTAGATTACTAAGCATCATAGAAACAATCCGACTTCTGCATACAGAAGTAGAATGTGGTTAGTCTCTCAACCTCTCGAGGACTATAATTTGATCCTGTTTTAGTTGGATTACACAACTCGTTATTTTACTCACCTATTGTTTGTTATCTGGTATTAATTTTCCCTTCACTGTATTTCTCACCAGTCTATACATTTAATTACCTTACCCTACCTGTTAACAACAATCTCCTTATTTGGAATGTAAGCAGCTGATGAGTATTTGTGGAATGAAATGATTGCAGTTTTATTATTCTGCAAATCATGTCTTTCTTGCTTTTTCCAAAGATATTTAAATATTAAATTTTCTAATGGTTTATACTTATATCGTGATAGCCAAGCAAGACAATGCTTTGAAATACGTTTGAAAAGAGTATATCATGTTGTACAAAAGGAAGTTGACCTTAGGTGAGTGGGTCACCCATCCACGTACTAACTGTTGATACTCAGCAGTAAAAAAATATTCTCCTTAACAACCTGAAGAGTTAAGTGCTCAGAATCTTTGCTGTCGTATTATCTCTAAAGTATGAATTAATAAGGAGGGTTTCGCTTCATCATCATCATCATTATCAACATAGGACCAGGCATTACTGCGTAACGGTCCGAGTTGCCACACCTCATATCAGCACATCAAGTAAAAAGGTAGTGAGGTGAAGGATGAAGATAAGTGAATGCAGTCAAAAGAAATATAAAGTACGAGAAGAAAGGAAAGAGGAGTGACAAAATAGTGAGATTCGGTATAGCGTTGTTAAGATGAGGATAATGTGTGTATACATCTGCGCCACTGACTTCGGTTCTGAGCCATATCACCTAGGGTCTCCAACCACTGGTTCCTCTTGTCCCGTGGACCCCAACCACCTAGTCTGCATCGTCCTACATGGCTTAAACCAACAGTCAGAGACTTCATACATTGGTGCCATGTTTTAGTCTGGCCACCTCGGGCCTTTTTCCAGCCTGGACCCACCTCAGCCAACATTGTGTGACGAGGCAATCGGTGACTAGGCATACGTAGTACGTGTCCCAACCATCTCAGTCGATGAAGGTTCACAACCTCGTCGACTGACTTACCTCTTCTCCCCAAAACTCTACACCTAACTTCTGCATTACTCACATGGTGACACCACGGAATACGTCCTATACTACGAAGGCAACGGTGGTCAAACACCTGAAGCCTTTTTGTATCCTCCACTTTCAATGGCCATGTTTCACAGCCATACAGTAGAACAGAGCGGACTGCTGTGCAGTACACGCGACCCTTAATAGACAAACGAATATCACGGCGGCGCCATAGGTGGCGCAAATTGGCAAAAGCCAATCGAGCCTTTTGTATCCGTGCAGAAATCTCATCGGCAACTAACCCACCGGGGTTGATCCTACTTCCCAGGTAAGTGAAGTGGTCAACACACTCAACCACTTCACTCTCTATTGTTAACCGCGGTACCGCTGAAGACCAGTCCTGGAGCAAAAATTTGCATTTGGGTGGTGAAAATCGCATCCCAAACATTCTCAAATTCCCACTCAAAGTGTTCAGAAGACTCTGCATCTTGTCAGCGTCTTCACCTAACAGGACTATGTCATCTGCATATTCTAGATCTAAGGAAAATTCACCTGTGATCGGGTCAACGTCTGTGTAATTAGGTGACGAGAGGGAAACCTCCATAAGAATATCTATGATAAAATTAAATAAGAATGGGGATAGTGGGCATCCTTGACGGACACCACTTGATGAGTATAGCTCCCTGGACAACTCACCATAGGCTCTAACATGCCCACAAGTGTTCGAGTAGAGAGCTTTCAATAAGGTGATGTACTTACTAGGCACGCCTTTCAGTGACAGACATTGCCATAAGACTTCTCGATCAACGGAGTCAAATGCCGCCTTCAGGTCGAGAAATACAGCTATTGTCGGGCGTCTGTAAGCATGCCTATGTTCCAGGACCTGGCGCAGTGTGAATATTTGGTCGATACATCCACGGCCAGGTCTAAAGCCTGCCTGGTTTTCTCGGGCTTGCTGTTCCCGAGCTCCACTCAGGCGTCGGAGAATTATAGAACTTAGGATCTTAGACACTATGTTTGTCAGGCTGATTCCTCTGTGGTTATCACAAGAGGACTTCTCGCCTTTCTTGAAGACTGGGATGATGACTGACTTAGACCAGTCGGAGGGGATCGTATTTGGTTCCCATATACTGGCTAACACTTCCGTTAACCTGACTTAGAGCATTCTACCACCATTCTTGTACACCTCAGCAGGTAGTCCGATAGAACTGCAGTTTTTTTGGTTCCTGACAGCACTACACGGGTAACCACTTTGAACAGATTCTTGTCGGCATTTTCCGAGACCACCAGTAGTTCATCTCTTCTGAATAAATCCGTCTGACCATCCAAAACAATGAGTGAATTACTCTTTTCCGTGTATAAATTCATGGGAGTTAAACTCTAAAAAGGCATATTGGCTTAATTCTACACCACTATAAAAAAAATGAATAATCATTTGTGAAAATATTATCAGGTTAGCAGAGCAGAATGAATCATCCTGGAGAAACTAAAAGGTCCTGTGGATTCAAAATTACCATCGGAAGAGTTTGTTGACCAGCTTCAGAAAAAAAATCATGTTTCCATCGAGTTGCGACGCTACACTACGCATCTTCATTGAACAGAGCATAGAATGCCAGTCAGCTGGATCTTTACCTCAACTTCATACACTTTGAAAAGGCTTTCGACAGCGTCGACCAAGAAAAAGTTTGGTAGATGCTTCAGCACTACGCTGTTAGTACCACAAATCTTCATCGACCTCACTCAACAGCAGTTACATGCTATATGTTACTACATGCCGAGTGATCCACAATGAAAAGCCCAGCGATGCCTTTGAAGTGAAGACAGGAGTAAGACAAGGTTGCAGCCTACTATCATCATATATGATCTTCCTGATTTTCGTCAACTCGAATGGACTGGATCATACAAGAAACTTTGAGGAGTGAGATCATGGGTATACGCTGTTTGACTGATGAAAAGACCCCAGAACAAGATTTGGATTTCGCCAACGATGATGATTTATGTCTAATGTCTTGTGGCACAAACTCGAAGACCTACAGGCAAAAACTAACAAGTTGGCAGAAGAGGTGAGATGACGCGGCGAATGAAGACGGGACTTCCTTCAGGTGAACGTAAAAAAAAACAGAGGTGATAAAGATGCCCAACCAACAACAACAAGAGGCACCAATCACCATCAACGGGAGAAATCTATAAGAAAGTTGTCTCTTTCACCTACCTACCAAGACAGCATCGTTTCAACTAAAGGTGGCGACACACATGAGAGTGTCATAGCCAGGATCAGAAAAACATCAATACAAGGCTTCTTCAATCTGAAGTCATGGTGGAAATCTACTCCGTTCCACTCCACTCCACTTCATCCCACTCAGCATAAAGCATGAACAAGATTCGCATTCTCAACACTAATGTGAGTCAAGTCAGTGCTTCTATGTAATGGTTCAGAGACTCAGCACGTTACGAAAAACATTTCCAACAAACTGCACGCATACATCATCAACAGCTGCGGCCTACGCTCGCTCACTCGTTCCCTTGCTCACTCAATACAGAGGATCAGATGAGATGAGATGAAGTGCGAAGGTGATATAGAATAAGAATAAGCAAGAAGGAAGTCACTCTGGCTGGCTGGCAACGAACCAGCTGACCGATAACCTATCGCTTAACAAATACGCCGAAGAAGGTGGCGGTTGGTTGGTTGGATTGGATTGGAAATACAATGAGAATATGGTTTGGAGACATCACGCGTCAGGCCAGGTTGTCGAGTGGAAGGCAAATGGTAAACGATGAGTTGGGCGTGTGAGGGTAACATGGAGTAGATGGTCTGTGAGGAAGAAATGAAACCTTCTGGGTAGTGGTGGAGCCAGGTTAGAATGACTGCAGAGAAGAGAGCGAAATGGTGATGTTCTACTGAAGCCATATGTTCCACTAGGAACCCAAGGGACAAACAATAATAATAACGATCCATGTTTTTCTGCATATTGTCTTCAAACATTCCACTGCTTATACACAATGGCTCACTACTAGCCAGTTAGCTATAACACATACCTGAGTTCGTTGGTATGAATGTACACATATGCGATATCTTCCCTTATCTAACACTTGTACATTGCGAACTAGGTGTTAGAATCACTCTCATAACCTCTGAAGACAATAATAAATAAGGATATAGGTAAAAATTACAATTTTTGTTCACCTTCACAGTTGAAAACCAAACAAATTTCGCATGTTTGACATTGATTATTTGATTATTTTGATTGTCCCATATGAATGAACATTCGGGAAATGTAATAAAGTTTTGTAGCTTTTTAAGATATGTACATTGGTAAGAAACATAAAAACCACCAGCAATTCCAATGAATATTTGAAAATTATCTCTGATGAGTTCATGATAAATTTAAATAGAATTTCACGATTGAAGGTAACAAAAGGAATCATCACAAGTGTTCACATATGTTTTTAAAAAATATGATCTCAATAAAAAAAGCCAATTCAATGTTCAATTTGTTTGAAATCACACTGACCTTGAAGATATCAGCCAATCAGTCACATATACAAAGATGAATTACTCACACAATAGAATGTTGAAATTTTCACTTCATTCTACTGTGATTCCTTTTGTGAATAAAATAGACTATAATCATTTGCATGATAGGTAATGTTGTCTAAAACATCATATATGTATATAGAAAGATTATTTTACAGGAATTTATAGCCTTAAAAGTGTAAAACTGTTTAGAATATATTTGTTTTTCGCATAATCCATAAAAATTCTTCTTCGCTGACTTCTCCATCACCATCTTTATCCGCTTCATCAATCATTTCCTAATTGAAATTTACATTAGACATGATTATTAACGTATACAAAAGGATTTCAAAACGCTGATATTTGTGTAGTAACATGTCCATGCTGAGTCGTTGGCTAACGTTTTTCTCTTCATCTTCTCTTCTAGATTCTTGTGGTCACCTCTAAACTCACACTTCTATGCCCCACCCCCATACAACAGTGTACCTAAAGGCTAGATGAAAATCTATCAACAACTGGTTGTTACATTTTGCTGTTGGCTCACAGTCACACCGATGTGTACTCAACAGCAGCCATACCGTCGAACGTAACTTGAATTAGCCTCTGCCTTACCCGGGTAAACTCAAGCACTAGGATAGTGTCATCCCATCGGGGGGGGGGAGAGAAGTGCAGGGTATTTGGTAGCTTACTCATTCACTTTTCAGTTTTGACTTCTAGACTGTCTGTAAGTACGTTCTTTATATTTGTTGAGTCATCAGTTCATTTTTATCTTTTCCTCTTCAGTTCTATATTCTTGTAGTCACTTCTAAACTTACACATCTATACGCCCCCTTGCAACGTCACAAAAAGCTATCAGCAACTGGTTGTTACAAATTATCTGCTGTCCTGTATTTTCGGGTTTGGAATCCTTTTATTGTCATCACATGCAGCTGGATCATCTATATCTAGCAAAGAATGAGAAAAAAGTATACCTAACTAAAGATTCATTACGTTATTTTATTCCAGCTAGACCCAGTATGTGGAAAGCGAATATGGAAGCTATTCACCTAGAGGACTGTCCGGAGGACTGAGCAGTCAATCCAGGAGCCTTAGTTGAAGCTGCATTGTGTTCCTTCTAACAGTCATATGTACGAGTAACTCAACGGTCCATTCCGTGGACTGTACCAAAGGGACGGGAACATTGTCCTCCGTGGATAAACCACGAAATCCGAATCTTGCTACGGTGTAAGAAAAATTGTTGGAGTCTTGCTACACACCTCGGTACTCCCTAGGTGATGAAGCACTACAAAGTAGTTTGAAATGAAAGTATCGCTGCTATCCACCGATACTGAATGTGCTTTGAAACACGCCTTGCCCAGACTGTACCGTGACATCCAAAGAGGTTATTTTCTTATATGAACTATAGAAATAGGATGTTTCGTGGTATACCCGCCCTAATCAAAGGGATAGAAACTGAATGTTTGATTGAAGACGATAAGAAAAAAACAGAAGCTATGGCTGGATATTTTTCTGAGGTCTTTACATCGGAATCTTCTGTGGACACTTAGTCAACAGTAGAAGCACTGACATCCAACAGAATAAACTCTGTGGATATCGATCGCAATGATGTATTTCGGACATTGAGTACTCTCAATGTTTGAAAATCAACGGGATCGGATGAGCTGCACCCACGGCTACTCAGAGGGCTTGCACTCTGTGTAGCCGCTCCAATAACTACCATACTCAGACTGTCTGGCAGTAAAGGCACGCTCCACTATGACTGGAAGCGTGCACTGTAACACCCATCCACAAGGTAGGTTCTAGGCAGCTTCCATCAAATTACAGACCAATAAGTTTGACCGGTAATGTTTTAAAAATCCTAGAAAGTGTAATCAAGAAAGCCATCACAGTTCACTTAGAGAGCAACACTGTATTGTCTCGTTCACAGCATGGCTTGCGTAGAAGTCCCCCTTGACTGACGAACCTTCTTACAGCCAAAAAAAGTTGGGTTAAGTTTAAAGATGATAGGATAACTGCAGATATCATTTTCATAGACTTTAGTAAGGCGTTCAACAAGATACCTCATTCCAGGTTGGTGGGGAAACTAGGAGGTTTTAGAATCACTGGCAGTCTGCTTGTATGGGTAAGAGAGTTGCCCGTTGGTAGGAGATAAAGAGTAAGAATCAATTCTCAACTCTTCTCTGGCAAGTCTGTACAGAGTGGGGTGCTGCCCGGCACGGTCGTGGGTTCCCTGCTATTTCTTCCCTACATGATTCAGCTGCTAAATATCACGAAATTCCCTATGGTTCTCTGCGCTGATGATTTAAAAATCTAGTGGGAAATTAGGAGTGATGAGGATATAGGTGCACTTCAGGTAGACATAAACAGATTGTTTACCTGATCAGAGAAGTGACTGGTGCCTACAAATATAGGTAAATGTATGAGCATGTACTTGGGATACACAAATGGCAAAGCCTACGACACTGATGGGAATCCTCTACCATCAGTACTGATTCACAATGACCTAGGAGTCACAATGACTTCCGATTTGTGAACCACGCTGCACTATCTAGGCCTCCCCTGCAACAACGTATCTACAGATTGGATGAAAACGTATCAACAGCCGGTCATTACAGCCTCATTTTCTTGTTTTATGTCAGCGAAATCCCAGATATGACTAATTACCCAGTGGTATCATTTGCCGATGACTCGGAGATATAGAAGGGTAGCTGTAACGATACAAAGTGGTGTGCATTCCCAGCAGACCCTAATAAATTAGTAAAGTAGTTCAAGTCCCGGTGTTAAAAAATTAATTCTAGCACATCTGCAGTCATGCATATCAGTTACAGCAGATACCATCAGTATTTAACAAACGGAGCACTAGTGTTCGTTGTTCAGAACTGAAGGCTGAAGTCATCCATAACTTGAAGACTTCTGAAAATTGCACCTCAGCCAAAGAAAAGGAGTTTTAGGTCTCCAGTCAAAGTATTCGAATGCCTTGATGAAGACATGTTTTAGATATTGCATCCTACGTTTGCTGACCACATCTAAAATATTATATCCAAATGGCCAATCACTGCCTCATAAAGGATGTCAAGGTACTGAAGCACACCCAAAGAACTGGTACTAAGTTGGTGACTGGTCTATTTGACCTTTCCTATGAGAACTGTATAGAAAGACTAAATATTTTCCTATTGCTTTACTCATAAGCGAGAAAAGCACTCGATATTCACACTCTAAATTACTAGCAGTGGCCTCATTACTTTTCCTCCACAATAAAATTCAAACACCACTGTGGAATCAACTTGGTATGGGCTTATGCCTCTAACTTCCAGTAGTCAATACATAGGACTCCTTGACTGGGTAAGTAGTATCAGCTTATTCGATGAAGGTATTCAATGAGAAACTAGATTCTCGCAGAAGAACCTTATGCGGGGATTAAAATAAGTCAAGTCCGCCTACTGTCCTTATTCATGAAAGTCGATAAAGCTTCAATCTTGTTTATACTATTGTCAGCTACTTGCAAAGTGTCTTCAGGCAGCATCAGGGCTAAAATACCTTCATTTCTGTGAATCATTTTCCTCAAGTAAGAGTACATTCCTTTCTTGGCTCCCTCTTCGAAACTAAAGTTCACCTCTATAGTAAGAAGTCCTGGATTCAATGTCAGAGTAAAGCTTGAGCATTGTGGTAGATTGTGATTCTACTTTAGTTTGTTTTTAGGGTTGTAAAATAGTGAAACAGTATTGTTTACTAGATGACGTTTCGGACACAACTTACTGTCCATATTTATCAAGTATGAGTACGTTTAAGGTATAACATGTATACGGATACTAAATTATGTTCGTAACGTTATCTCATAAATGATAATGTTTCACTGTATGATATTTCTAATAAGCAGACTAGAAAGAATTTCTGACCCCATTCAAGCAGGAAAACTAAGCGTTGGTTCCCAAATTCGTGAGCAAGGCTACGCACTTACTCTACAACTATGATAAATTTTAATCAAATATAATCAAAAGCACAAGACTGACCTGAAGTTCTTCATCTGTGATGTCTTCTCCTAGCAATTGTGCAGCACGTTTAAGCTTAGGAAGTGTTAGTTTGCCAGAATCATCATCGTCGCATATTCTAAATGCCTTTATAAGATCCGATTTCTCGCTTTTTTCAGTCATTTTCGATGTCATTATCTCCATAAATCCTTTGAAATCAATTAGACCTTAACACCATGCTTCAAACAGCCCATCTTTTACCTTTATTTTCAGGATCGTACTGTAAAGTCATTTGCCTGATATCAGCAGCTGTAGGGTCAAAACCTAGAGCCCTGAGAGCAACTTTGATCTCTCTTCCTTTAATTAATCCTGACCCTTCCTTATCAAGGAGTTTAAAAGCTTCAAGGAGATCTCTCTTTTGATTTGTAGTCAGAATAAGCTTGACGTCTGAATCAGACTTCGTCTTTTTCGCCTTAGCGCCGGACACACTCCTGTAATTCATAGCGAATATTCTAAGATGATGCATTTACCTGGAACTATTCATAACTATTTGCAACAAAGAAGTTCGAAAAAGTGACAGCTATTTTCACCAATGGCATCAAGAATTAAAACAACACTCAGACCAAACGTTATAAGAAAAACAAACAAGGTTTCTATAATTATATGGCATTTTATTCAAAAGCACTTTTAGCTTTAAACTAACAAGTGTGTATGATGAATTACCATCAAAAGACTTTCATGTGACAGTGCTAGTACCCCGACTCCGCAAGAACTTAGAAATCTTCATGAATACAGTTAGTCTACATCGCGAGGCTTCAAATTGATATCTAGGTCGCTTCAAAAGACCGTACATTGGGAGGATGCAGCAATTTTGGGGGAAGGGAATACAAGGTTTGCAGATTCTGACTGAAAACCTATTGGCACGGATTTCCGCTTGAGCTATCATGCTTAACTCCTAAATAGTCATGATCAAGATGTTTTGGATTGAAGCTTCAAATGGTCTCTGAATGGTTACGAAAGGTTTGATACGCTATGGCTACGCCCCTCTCATCTACCTATACTAGTAAGACCTGAACCGTAATCGGATCTTTTGTTGAGGCTATTTTCTGCACCCATTGTAAGATAGAAATGACTCTGATAATAACAATTATATATATATATATATATTTCATACAACATCGGTTGCATGAATACAAACCAGTTTACAGGTTTGATCATTGTGCTAATTAGAAATGTACAGCGTTAAGCTATACATTAGATACCGTTATTCATGGCGTACAAGAAGTGTGTTGAAGCAGGCTCATTTCGAAATAAGGAATTATCCGGCTATTGTTTGAATCTTCCAATATATTCTTGAAGGTAGGGCAGCATCACAGTCGTGACTTTGGGGTGTGTGCTTTCGTCATAAGATTTTGATGGCAAGGTGCACACTGACAAATGCAATCCCTAGGATTCCACTTGAATGCAGGACTGGTTATGTAAGTCTGAAAAGTGAATAACGAAAGCGAGCAGCAGGCGAAAGTCGAAATGGGAGCACAAAAACACGTATGAGGTTAAAATAACCACTTCTTGTGTGGGTATAGATCAACATTGTGAACAGGTCTGAAGTTCGTCATCTGTTGTTAGAGAATTAAGCTCCAGGGATCTTTGAGCCTCTTTCACCGCAGGGAAACTATGGACGAAAGTCCCAGACACGTCACTTTAGGTAGCTCCAGGATCCTTATCGATATATGGCTGTGAAACTTCTGCTTTCCATTTGGGGACTAGGACCGGAATTCCAAATATGTTTGTCTTCCACCACTGTCTTTTTCATGTTGAACAGGCTTTCGATAGTTCGATTCTGAATTTTAGATGTGTCCTCCTGGAACAGAGAGATACCCATTGGCCCTTTATTCCGGTCCAGATCTTCACACCATAGGCGCATATCAGTAAATGAAACAGCGGATTTGCTGCAGGTCATTTGTGTAAAAAATAAACTGACAGGAACAAAATGTGTAACTTTGATGGACCTGTCTCTGCATCGAGCACCAACAAGATATGCATAGGCCAACTCGAACAGATTACGGACACTTATTAAGGTTGTTCCGAAGTCAAGTGAGCGGATTTCCATGTGAAATCGTTAGCTGAATTTTCTCACGAAGTATGTCATGGTCAGCGGCCTCAAGAGAATCCAAGTAGCGCTATATGAATGAGCTTCTCCTGCCCAACAGAGGAGCGTGGATATTTCATACTGTGGACAAGTTGTCGGTATATATTGTAGCGTCATACACTTCCCCAAAATCAATAGCCTAGGGTTTGACGACTTTCGACATTGATGCTGACCTTGATAGTTTAACTGGACTCGCTAAGCTGAAGGCACCCGGTCAAGCATCCTCGCCATTTGGCACGCTGTCGTGTTACGTTGCATTGCTCGTATTCGACTCTCTAGCCAGTTAGTTGGAACGCATCGGTATTTTGGCATAACCATCCAAATATACTATTCCATCCGACTACGCTATCGTGTTCTTCCTTGGTCTCGTATTCGTGGGTATATAACAAGTTCGAATAATTAGTGATTGGTCTTTGCGTCTGTCAAGTTCGCACCAGGACAAATCCTAAATTGGTGAGCCCGACGTGATCAATATCCCGACGTGATCACATATCCCGACCAATAACAAGTATTGAATTGGTGAGCCTGTTCCATTTTATATTTGTTTATTGTTTTCATTTCGATAACATTTATATATCCATTTACTACACTTTCTCATGTCCGACCACACTCCCAAGCTTATTCGTATTAAGCCGACTACGAACACGATCCAACTCGTGCCATATTGGCCAGACAATGCAGAAACATGGTTTCTGTATGCCGAGGCAGATTTTCGAGAACAGGGTGTCTCAGATCCTCATTCTCGATTTCTTGCTGTCATACGTTCATTACCGCGAGAATTAAACAGGTATGTTACAGCAAACATGTTTAATCCTGAAGTAAGTGACCCTTATGCACTTCTAAAGGCCGCACTCTTGAAGAAAAGCGATCTCACAGATCGCCAACGTCTAGACGAATTGCTTCGTAACATCGAGCTAGGCAGCCACTCAGCTACTGAAGTCCTCGCACGCATGCGAGAAGTAATCGGTGCACGAACATTTGACGATGGTTTCTTCCGAGAACTATTTCTCTCGAAACTACCACAACCGGTGCAAACCGTGTTGGTGACACTCCAGTCAGTCCCACTCGACGACCTGGCAGCCTCAGCAGATAAAATACTGGAGATATCCAGCAGACCAGTCTCCAACGTATATTCTATCTGCGACAAAACAGAGCGCCAGGATTCAGAGGTGACCAAGTTGTGCAACTCTGTGAGACGGTTGCTACGATCTCGAAGTCCTAGATCACGTAGCACTTCACGGAAACGCACCTTGGCGCATCGCAGCAAGTCGCGTGGTAGCCCTAAAACGAAACCCAACAGGGTGGAAAACCCTGAATGGTGCTGGTTTCATAACACTTACGGGGATGAAGCCAGAAAATGTCGTAAACCATGCCGTTTTAAGAAGGACCCGAACTCGGGAAACGGTCACGCCGGCACGTGCTCACGGCAACCGTAGCCGGCGGAAAAAGCCGTTTGCTCTACGTCACGGATATTAAAACGAAAGTCCGCTACCTCGTCGACACCGGCGCAGAAGTTAGCATTCTTCCAGCAACGACAAAGGAGCGTCATCTTGACCCATCCTTCAATCTTCAAGCAGCCAACGGCAAGGCAATCGCGACATTCGGGAGACGGTATGCCTACCTCAACTTAGGTTTACGCAAACCTATCCACTGGATTTTCCTCCTGGCAGACGTCTCTATGCCCATCATTGGCATAGATTTGCTAAACCATTACGATCTACTCGTAGATGCTCGCCGTCGACGACTGATAGATAACAGCACAAAGTTATCCATTGGCGGCACCACCTATGTAGGTCCGAGTTTAGCCATCGTTAGGACTAAACAATCAGACGACGCGTCCTACCAGGCAGTTCTGGAGAAATATCCAGAGTTACAGCAACCGAAGCACACTCTTCCGTGCATAACCAGCAATGTTATGCATCACGTCACAACCACAGGTCCACCTGTGGCATCCAAAGCGCGCCGTCTAGCCCCCGATAAGCTCCAAACGGCGAAAAATGAATTCGACCACATGCTCGACCTGGGCATTATCAGACCGTCGAACAATCCTTGGGCATCGCCATTGCACATGGTTCCCAAAAGGATAGCAGTGACTGGCGTCCAACCGGTGATTACCGAAGGCTCAACGCCAAAACAACTCCGGACTCCTACCCGATACATCAATACAAACCCTCGTATACTTTGCCTTTTTATATCAATTTTTTTTACCATGTAATGAAATTTTAAAAAAAAACGGTAAAGATAAGCGTAAATTTTTATTTTTCGATATGTTGATATATAAATAATTCCCATTTTTACGCAACGTTTTCGTGGTATTAAAGACTTTTATTTATATTCCAGGTGCAACGAGCACTGGACGGAACGTCGAAAGGAACAGATGACCGCGACCGACGTACAATTCCATTTATTGTATTTTATTTATTTAATCGCCACGACACCCTAGAATAAGGTTCAGACAACCAGGGGCCACCTCACGCAGTCAGCCCATCGGAAGAGTTTTACCAGTGGAGAAACCACTGGGTTTTTACTTCCGGCTGGTATCGTCTTAGGGTCCTCACGAACCCACTAGGGGGGGAGTGATCTGTAGCGTCATACACTTCCCCAAAATCAGTAGCCTAGGGTTTGACGACTTTCGACATCGATGCTGACCTTGATAGTTTAACTGGACTCGCTAAGCTGAAGGCACCCGGTCAAGCATCCTGGCCATTTGGCACGCTGTCGTGTTACGTTGCATTGCTCGTATTCGACTCTCTAGCCAGTTAGTTGGAACGCATCGGTATTTTGGCATAACCATCCAAATATACTATTCCATCCGACTACGCTATCGTGTTCTACCTTGGTCTCGTATTCGTGGGTATATAACAAGTTCGAATAATTAGTGATTGGTCTTTGCGTCTGTCAAGTTCGCACCAGGACAAATCCTAAAATATGACCTACCAGGTGAAAATTCATGATTATTCCCCTAGTAGATAACCACAAAATGGGTGATTTACTACTTTTCGATAATCTCCACTATTGAAGGGGCTAAGGAGACGGTCTGAAGTGCGAGGTAACGAGCTTATTCCCACCTTCATATACGAATGCCAATAGTTTCCAACTAGAGCATGGCCTACCTTCTATAAACGGATATTTGTAGAGGTATATCGGTGGAACATACGGAGCAACAGCTCACCCTATGGTACTTTTAAATGAAAACGGCCAAATGTCAGACGTTTATTGGAGTTTAAACCCCCTTAAATTTCTCAGATTTTAACAGATCCAAATACTCCACAGTGTGAACCCCTTGCATTTCTAGTGTCTAATTGATGTGAGGCGTTTGTCGTTTCCTGGTAGAATTTAGGCCTAAATTTCCGAGTTAACAGGCTAGCCAAAATAAAGGTAGTCTAGTAAGTACACTAACCTCGCCTGGTTAACTAGTTTACTAGTTACTAGCCGGTCCTAA